GCCGCTCCGCGCTTGCCCGCCTCTCTCGCAGGGAAGGGACGCGAGCGGACAGCGCGGCTCGCTGCGCGCTCGCGCAAAATTCCGCCGCCGCCGGAGCCATTGCATTTTCCCGTGGGAATCGCGGCGGGGCAAGTGGCTCGTTCACAGCCGGGATACTCTGTTCCTGTCCCCTCGGCCCGCGCCCACCCGCGGGACCTGCTCCGCTGGGGCGGCCCAGCAGCGGAGCGGTCCCTGCTTCCTATGGGGAGCCCCGGGGAAATGCAGATCTCCTGCCCGGGAAGTTCAATGAGCAGCAGCGCCGTGGTCCCCACGGGCAGCGCCGGACTAGCGCCCTTCCCCGCGGCCTCGGGCCGCGCCGCCCGGCCCGGGCTGCTCTGGGGATCCGCTAAGGGCGGGCGGGCGCGGAGCGGCCCAAACTTCTCTCTGCGCGGAGGGGTGCGCCCGCGGCGCGGAGTCCGCGTTATTCCTGCGCCGTGAACGCTGGACACCGGAGGCTGCTGAACCCTGCGCGGCGGGGCCGGCGGGCGCGGGCACGAGGGGGTTAACGCGGCTGCTGCAGCCGCGCTCTTGTTCGGCTCCGTAATCTGCATTTCCGCGCTGCGGCGCAATAAAAAGTGCGAAGTTTGGAGACACCTTTCTTGATTATACCTTTGGCGATACTTTAGGTTTTACATTTAATTTGCATTTTGTTCTTGGTGAATATTGAAGTCTTGAGTGGAGGATTGAATTTTATTAGGACATCTGGACTGACAATATCAAATCCGACACCGGCGTCCCAAAGCATGCTAAAATTTCAGAGTTAATTAGAACGAAGTGTGTTTAATTAAAGCCAATTATAATATCTGGAATTATCTGATCGATCCTTGTTTGTTCGCTCGCGGCCGGTTGGTGTTGTCCTCTTGTGAGCACCTCGCACCAACTGCGCGCCCCGTCTCGGGGCCCCGCGGCCTCCCTGGCCCTCCACGGCCCCGGGTTTCGCGGTGGTTCCGCCCGCGCGGAGAAGCCGCGACTGTCACTGGACTCCCGGCGCTGCCCGCGGAAAAGTTTAGGTTATTTTTTTAAAATAATAATAATTGTTAATTTGGCCGTACGCGGCGTAGCGCGACGTAGTGCGGGGGTGCCGGGGATTCCTGTCCCTTCTGTCCACCTCGGGGGAGGCAGAAATTCCCCCTGCGCAGCTCAGGAATTGGAGTTCAAGGGAAATGGGCCCAAGTCGCGTGAATAAATAAAAGCGTGGAGCGGCCGCGCGGCTCGGGGGGACAGAAAATAGCGGCGATTCCCGAGCGCGGGCCCCGCGCCGGGCCCAGGCCCACGAGGAGGCGGGTTGCGCCCTCGCGCAGCCCCGCCGCCCTGCGCTCCGCAGCGCGCGGCGAGCCCGGCGGGGAGGCGGCTGCCCTGCGCGCCCGCGGAGCTGCGCCCCCTCCACGGCTCCCTGCTCGGCCGCGCAGTTCCCACCGACTTTGCGCCGGGAATCGGCCGCCCGCGGCCCAGAGCGGCCAGCCGCGAGACCTGGGCGTCAGAAAGTGCCCAAAGCCGCAATTTACCCGCGCTCCGGTGCGCGGGGCTCGGGGGACAGCGCGGGTTTGTTTCACCTAAATTTGGTGTGAAGAACGCGGCCGGCGCGCCGACCGCGGGGCCGCCTGAAACAATAAAATAGAAATAGGAACGCGGGGAAGTTTGCGCGGGGCCTGGCCAAAGTTGCGGGGGCTGCAGCGGCGCCCGCGGGCGCGCAGCGGAGAGGAGCGGGGCCGCCCGCGCAGGCAGCGCCGCGCGGATCTCCGCGGTGATTTACTGCCAAGTAAATACGTGCTACAACTTCGGTGATTTAAAACATCGAAATGCCGCGTTTTCTTGCAGGAAAAAATGTGAAATGATTAAGATAATAGTCCCAGGAGGCTGGTCCCGGGAAAAAAAAATAATAAAGTTTAGGGGAATCCTATAGCAGCCGCGGAAATGAGGCTATCAATTTTAATCTGCGCAGGGCACGCGCCGGCTGTGATTATGCGCTATTACGGTGCGCGGTGGCTGCGCGGGCAGGGGTGGCAGGGCCCGCGGCGGGTGCCCGCGGGCGCGGGAGGCCGCGCAGCGCTGCGCGGGGGCCAGCTGGGCTGCGGCCATCTGAGCGGCTCCGGCGTGACATCTGGGAGCCCAGTGGTGTGTGGCGCGCGCAGCGCTTGATGTCGCTATTTAAATGCAAATTTGCGCGGGGGCGGGAGGGGGGGGGGTCAGCGGAGCCCGTAAATCCGCACAAAAGGGAGAGGCAGCGCGGAGGCCTTGCGGCCGCGCAGGGTCTCGCGCAAGGTGCCGCGGCGCCCCGGCCTTCGCTGCGCGACCCGAGGGCGGCAAGTTGGGGGAAAAGCAGCGTTGTCGCTAAAAAAGAAAAAAAATAAACATTTGAAATGGGGATCGGAGGGGCGTCTCGCTGCGCGGGCGCGCTCCCCGCTGCGCGCTGCGGCCGGGGGGAAGCGGCCCGGCCGCCCTGCGCGCTGCGCTGCTCGCCGAGCGGGGCAAGTCGGGGCGCGCCAGAGCGCGGGTCCTGCTCGCTTTGGGTGCGGGACCAGATGATGGGGAAAATGAGCTGAAATGGATTCAGCCTCCGAGCCTGTTGTGAGCAGCAGCTGATTCCCCGCTCGGGCCAGATGGCTTCTGAGCACAGATTTGCATTCATTTTCGCTTAATATCGTCCAAAATAGTGGGGCAGCTGCATTTGTTGTCCAAAAGGTTTAAAAGTCCCTTTCTTTCTGGGGCAGGATCGTTACCTTATGCGATGGGCTTAGGGAACTTTTTTTTTCCCTCTTTAGTCAACAGTATCAGATTTAAAAGGATTTGTTTTAAAACCTTCTAATTTGGTAATCAGATTTAAATCGCCTTGGCGCGTGTAATCTGAATTAAAGATACTGTAAATGATTTTCGGCATTACGCTTTCGTTAGCGCGGGCAAGCGGCAACTTCGGCGCTGTCCGGGGCGCTTTCGGAAGGGGGTTGCGGCGCTGGCAGCGCTCGCCGCTTTCGCCCTGTTTTTGAGACGCAGTTTATTCCTTTTTGCCGCTTGCGAGGGGCGCAGCCCCGCCGGGCCGCGCAGTTTTGGGGCACCCTGCGCAGAAAGTGGCAGCTCGGAGCGTGTCCTGCAGCCGCTCCCCGGCTCGGGACCTTCCCTTTAATTTATCGGAAAGAGTTTCCATACACTTTGATTTAAGGTTATTAACATTCTATAGACAGTGGCATCTTTAATATGTGGCGATCGCTTCTAAAGACTAATCTCATTACCCTCAAATAGTCATAAAATATGATTTTATTATACTTACGTATTTAATTAGACGGCCAGCAATGTAATGGATTTTGAGATCGGGTAGAGCAACAGCTTTGATAATTCACTTATCTTTGGCAATAGTCATTAACCCCCAACACCAGCAAAATAGATTGCTTTCTAACACATCTATTTTTTTTTTCCTTCCCTTCTCACCCCTTGGAGGTGGCTCGGGGGGTCTCCTGGTAGCAGCGCTCGGACTTCGATTTCCAGCGATTAATTAAAATATCAGCAAATATGGCAAATCGCTAAAACAAAATAATAATAGAGGGAAAGGGAAAGAAAAGAAGCGAGGAAGGAAGTCCCAACCTGCGTGAGGCGGAACAAGCTCCGGGCTCGCTGCAGTTGTGCTCTGGGCTGCACACACACAGAAACACATACGTATATATATATATGTGTACGGAGGTTATGTATATGTATATGTACATACATGTGTCTGATATATGTATAATCACAGCATACATTGAGATACGCGCAGGTTTTACGTAGTTATGCATACTGTGTATATATATATGTATGGAGATGGATGTTTATGTTTATTTAGTGTGTGTTCCTCTGTATGTATAAAGTGTGTGTATCTGCATGTGTATATATATATATATATA